AAGGATTTGCATGAAGCTCTCGCACTGCAGGGTTGCTAATGGTGAGCGTTATTTCAGCCAGCAGTAAGTTTCATAATCTTGGCCCAGCTCCTGTGAATGTTCTTGTTCCTCAGGGTCATGAGCCGCTTTCCCCTTCTTCCATCCCTTCCCCCTCTCCCCAAACTGGTTGGCAATTGCATTGTTCCCGTGGAATATATCCGTCATGTGAGGTCATTGCTGCATAAGGAGAGGTAATTGATTGCTTAGGTCACTGGGGCCTGTCCCATGCTGGGCTTTGAATGCCAGCTTAGAGACTTTGAACTGGACTCTGTGGTCAAAGGCAAGGCAATGTGGGGTGCAGAGGGGCATGGTGATGCATTTCCAGCAGCTTGAGTCGCCAAGCAGACAGACTGCTGCATTCTGAACTAGCTGGAGTGCTCTGAAAGCAGACGGCTTCTTTCCTAGAGGCACAGTATCACAGCAGTCAAGCTCGAGATGTTACAAAAATACAGATAGATCATCATCTGCCAGCTGGGCCAGACAGAATTCGGTGCAACTCTCTTCCCATCCCCGGATGGAAGGAGACAGTACTCGCTTCTCGCTAACACAGCTTGTGTGTGCTCGGCTTCATCCAATTGCTCTTCAGTTAGAGCTGATCATCGAGAAAGCTGTGAGATTCTCAGATTTTGAGGCCAGAGGGACCATTTTGATCATCGAGTCTGACCTACAGCAGAGCACAGGCCAGAGAATTTCACCAATTTCATTTCCTGCGTCAAGCCCATAACTTCTGACTGAACTGTAGCATCTCTTTTACAAATACGGCTACGCGAAGGCTTCATGCAGTAGGGAATACACCACCTGCCTAGACGAATTGTGCTAGTGTGTGACCCTCTTTATTAGTAGTATTGTTCCTCATTTGAATTTGTCGAACTTCAGCATTTTGTAACAGAAGGTTACAGATTGCATTTGATGCGAGGGAGCTACAGCGCAGGTATTGCCTGCATACGGCTGGCACCTTGGCTCTTTTTATTCCTGTGATGGCTTTTGTATTTGGACAGGATTTATCTTTGGGACCACAGTATACAAGAGTCCTGGACATGGAGAAGGAATTATCGACAGAGAATCTTAGGGCTTCCCTGGAGCGCAGTAGCATCTGAACTCTGTCACATTCAGGGTTTAGTCTGTGCTCCCTGCTCAGAGCAGGGGTGCATCAGGCTTTGCTCCTAGCCATTAGTTAGGATATAAATTCCCAGCTACCTTGGTGAACTGGGATACATGCTTTGGGGCATGGCTACTGAGATCTACTCTCTCACGTCCCAGCAGTGGTGGGTCCATGCTGCAGGAGACTTACAAAGAGGCAGGAAGCACAGCTGAGTCCCTGACACTGGGGAACAGCAGCAGGATTCATGCTTCTGTACTGCAAATGCAATGAGAGCAGCTCCTAATAGATTAGCCCCAGGGATCCATGGTCTGGACCAGTAGTGGCATCCATATGCAGTAGCAAAGAGCAGTGTAATTCTTATTCACGGCTTCCAAACACCAAGAATCACAAACTGAGCTCAATGAAGTGCCCTGGGGAACTAGCTTTGTCATTCATACTCTGTCATCTGTGCATCACAGGACTGGAACCCTGCAATAAAGGCTCTGTACCTAGAGTGAAAATACACAGGTCCATCTTTGGACCCTGGGAGTAGCCCTGTCCATTTTATCACAATTAGACGTGGGAAACAGATCTGAAAGCAAGAGCCATGCCATGTGGCACTGGTGCAGAAATCCAGTCTCTCTGCTCTGGCACACAAAGGCTTCTTGAATGGTGTAAGGTGCATGGATACTGGGATTTATACCTCCAGGTAGTAAGGACACTGACATCCCCTCCTCTTCTCCAAAGATCTACTAGTTTATTCAGCATCCACACCAGGAGCTGCATACAGAGCTGAATGAAGGGCATTTATTACACTTGCCCTCCAGTGCAGCAGAGTCTGTGCCCAGGTCAAAATTCCCACTGCTGAGGGTTAACTGCAGTGTGCCCCAGCCATGCTTTAGCTGCTCTTTTGTCAATAAACCACAGGGACATCCATGCTCTATTTTGAACATGACCGCTCCATACACAGTGGAGTCCAGTCCTCCCTGGGTGGCACTTCCGCCTGAAACCCTCCTTTGCTCCCACAGCATTCATGCTATGGGAGATGCCTCTGTGCTTCTCCCAGCTCCTCTACAACCACACCTGGGTGTGCTAGTGCAGGACACACTCTCAGTCTTCGGCCACAATATGATTAGCAAATCAGAATGTGCTGACTGACACTGACTGACATTGACTCATTCTTGCAGTCAGCTGGAGCCACCTTTGGCTAGAGGGACTGGGAGTCACCTGCTCTTCACCGTTGGCAGCAGGACCTGTGCGCAGCAGTGTCTCAGGTGTGAAGCTTCCGCCTGATGTTCACGCTGTTACTTCCACAGCTTTATGTGTACACGAGGCCAGGGATGGGGCTCACTTCTTCCCCCCCAGCTCCAGTTACAGCCATTACCTGCTCTGTAGGGCTGAAATTCAGACCACTGGGTGTGAAAGCAATTCAGGATTTGGCTCTCTAGGATTTCTTTAGAACCTGGGAATCCAGTCTGGGGTGCTGTTGCTGGAGTTCACAATCTCAGCTGAGAAGTACAGCGAGGTCTCCATTATAAGACATCCCAACAAGCCAGGAGAGTGCAGTGAGCTGGGTGACCCAGCACTGTGCACCTACACCCAGGCACGTTTCTGCCAGCAGAGCCATCTATGTTAGGAGGAGTGCCAGCAGTTACATGTGCACCTCTAATGTACCACACTGCCTGGGGGGACTGGCACTGAGGTCTACCTGCACCTGAAGAAGATCTCCACCCCCAGAGGTGGCACTGGCCAGATCCACATCTCCTGCTGCATGATGCAAAGCAGCCTGCAGCCCTTGAAGACCAGAGGTGTAACTGAGAATTACATGCCACAAGCAGAGCAGGGTCTTCACCCCAGGGAATGACTGTCCTGTGGTGAGTCCCAGGCATGGCCACAGGCACTCCAGACCACCTTGAAACCATTTGGGTGGTTTGTGTGCCCTCTAGCCCAGGGACTCACACGAGGAGGTCCCTGGCACTTGGAATTCCCTCCTTTCGCAAAGTCCAAAAGGAATTCTGTCACAGATCTGTGTTGACAGACACGATCTTCCACAGCACTGTGATCATAATCCAGATGGCCAAGATCTCGCCAGCCTCTGGCTTTGGAAGAAATTTGCTCTGTTCTGCTGCCTCTCTGCAGAGCTGCATTTTAACACTGTGTCCCCTCCAAGGCTAAGAGGTTCAGGAGCAAAGTACAAAGAAATGCTGAGAATAGCTGCTCTTTTCTCCTCATCTTCATCTCAGGATCCCTCCAGAGACTGATCTTGTCCCAGAGGGAAGGGCAGGGCACATTAGCTGACAATTCCTTTTTTTTTTTTTTTTCTGTGAACTTTCTTTAAATATTTAACAGAAGGAAACTAAAAATATCCCCAGTTAATGCAGGAGGAGCTAGACAGCTACTCACTCCTGGGTGCCCTTCCTCCCAGCCCCTCTGCTCAGGTGTACCTCAGGGGCACGAGTCCCTTTATCACAGCAAGTACCAGGCTCTTCCATCAGCAACAGAAGCTTCCCATTCAGGAGGGGCTGCAGTTTTAGTTCAGGGCATGGGCTGAGCAGGAGGGGATGACAGTAACCCCTTGGGTGCTGGGAGGCACAACACAGCTGGGTCAGGCCTGGAGGTGCAGGGCTGGCCTCTGGGTTGACTCCCTCAGCAAGCATCCCTGTTTCTCCACCGTGGCAGCCACAGAAGGGCATGACTGTGGGTTGTCAGCATTCATGCTTTCCCCTTCGTGATGAAGGAGAGCTGAATATCGTGAATGATTTTTTTGTGTGTGTGCAGTCTTTGCTGCGGAGAGGATCCTGGGTCAGGCACATAACAGCTCACCAGGCAAGGGCGGGCACTGCACTGTGCCCAGCCAAGGGAAGGGGCAGACAGCATGAAAGGCAGCCGTGCTACCACCAGACTGATGACAGAGATCCAGCCACGGGGACCGGCCCTCACTCCATGCTATTGCTGCTGCCTAGTGCTGCTTGGCTATGGGAGGTAGGAGAAAAAGGGGGAAATAGGGGAGCAAGGGAGGGACAAGACAGCACAGAGGACACTAGGACAAGGAGTGTGGGAAGGTAATTCCATGTTAGCTAAGAGGAAAGCAAATACTAAATATTTGATAGGCATATTTTTTGCTCTTAAATTCTTTAGTAAGGCTGGACTTTTCTCGCTGATTCACTCTCTCTCAGTCTTCTTGGTTTATGACTCTTGTGCTTCCCCTCTCACTCCCTCACTCTAGCACACAATGAAGAGGCTCTTTTTTTTAATAAATGTATTACATGCTCTACACAATAAATAAACACAGGAATTAAGATTCCAACTTGTTCCCATGATAAACAAACAAAAATGCCAAATCCCCTTCTCGGCCCTCAGACAGGTGAGTCCCCAGGGAAGCTGCGCATGTGCCTCTGCACATGTGCTCCAGAGATCACTCCTTGCTCTTGTGTGCATATGCTAATGTGCGTGTTTCTGTGTGGTGCTGAGGCTGGGGGTACAGTGCACCTCCGTGCAGGACAGCTGGTGGGCACGGGGGACAAGAAAGCAGGAAAAGTGCTGCATTGCTTTGCCCATCGCGGCCAAGAGCTTGCTTGTGGTGGCACACACCGCTTCCAGGGAGAGAGCGGTCACCGCTGCGTGAGGGGACACTGACACCTCTTCCATTTGGTTCCCAGTGAAGAAGAAGATGAGACAGGACCCTTGCTGAGCAAAGACACCGTTCCCACTGAGATGGAACCTAGTGCCTGGTAGGTTCGTGGCTTCCCATGTTTGCCAGAAACAGGGGAAGACGACAGGAGTGAGGGTGGCGGGCTGCTCCCGGCTGCTTCACCCTTAGCCTTTGGGCAGGAGGGACGTTTCAGATAAGGCTCTCTTCTTCCTCCCACCCGCCCTGCAGCAGGATGCCTCCACTCCTCTCCTGCGTCCCTGCAGCTTTGGCATCTCCTCCTCCTGGTTTCGGCTGTCCCTCCTCCTGGCGCCGGGTCTGTTCGCCCTCGGGGCCCAGCGGCTGCTCGGCCTCTTTGTGCCCGTCGGAGCCCCTCAGCCTCGCGGCCCATTTGCATCTGGGACAGGACCTCGCTGCCCGAGAGGGATTCTCGCTTGGCTCTGCCACGTCAGCGGGCTCTGCCCCCC